TAATCTGTGGTGCTGGAGCCGGCTCAGCCAGCTCTCAGACCATCTCCCAACTCCGTGTTTAGGGACTTCATGTTGGTAGTTTTGAAACCAGCCAGGATGAGAGCATAGAAATGGGCAGATGCTAGGAATCAGAGCTCCTCCCCAAGGCCCCCAGCCCCCACGCCTCAAGAGCCAAATTACCAGAACAACATATAATTATCCTTACCTCTAAAAAGAATGAGGGCTCAGGGAGCTGGGGTAGGAACCCAAGCTGTCTGGGACTCTGACGCCCATGCCTTTTCCATTGCACAATTATTCCTCTTCATCAAAAATGTTCTTTAACTATTGTGGTTTTCCAAAGTTGGGATATTTGATGCCTCCCATGCCTGAAAACTTAATTATATGCCCACTGCGAATACGTTCTGTTATTCTAATATTGTATTGCAACACAGTCCTGAACGAGTTTAGGGAAGTAGCTTAGTGCATCTGTTGATGATTCCCTGTAACACAGAATTTATTTTTTCAGCACTGTCAGAGTTTGCTGACTAGAAGCCATGAGTTGGTTTTGTCAGCTACAAAAGAAAGTCACCAAATAAAGGGAAAGTCACCAAATAAAGATGTGGGGCGGTGGGGAATGAAGGAATTACAGTTGAGTTGTTTCGAATTATGTAATTCATACACCATACCTTAGTGGGTCCACGAGAAGTGTTAAATAAAACACTTATTTGTACTTCAGAGCAGCGTGCTTTCTTGTAATATGAAATGGTTGAGTGAAATGACTTAGTGTGAGTTCAGAGGCTTTATAGGAAGATAGGATATTTTATGCTCCTGTACCCTGCCTCACCTCTGCAAACCACCACCTAAAATCTTCCTTTCCTAAAATCTCTGAGAAAGATCATGCTAATTTGGCGTCTGAGGTCATTATAGGAACCCTGCCCTCCCGCTTTGAGCATCTCATCCTTGGGAACTCTCGCAATTCGAATGGGACAAGATGCCACTAACGTTTACCGAGTGTTAGGCACCGCATCATGTTCTCTCTAGGGTGCAACGTCGAACAGGACAGATGTTGCCCCACCCTTGGGGAGCTCACAGTTTAGTGAGGGAGACGGTGACACAGTTAAAATGCTGTGTGATAAGGGAAGGAGTTTTGCTAAAGGATTTTGTGGAGGAAGCATGATCCATGTGAGCCCAAAGGGTGGTTATCCTTACCTCAGACACCTGGTATTCTAAAGCCCAATTAGAAAGAAGCATCGTATGTAACAGAAAAAAAGTGTAATGTTACATAAGTGTCCTAACCTTCTGCTCAGGAGAACCCAGGGTGCAGTCTTCTCTCTGTCTCTACTACCTCTGTGATGTGTCTAGCCTCAATTTTACATCTATAAAATAGACTGATAATATTTATCCTGCTAACTCATGGGGTGGTTATAGGAAATGCATGAGAGAAAGTATATGAAAGTATATTGCTGATCATTTTATTTTTCCAGGAATAATAATAATATAATTTCATTAATGATAAATTAAGAAAACATTTGTTAAGCACCTACTTGGTTGAAGATCCTGTGTTAGACCTAATATTCGGCTCAAGCTTATTTCGCATTAATTTTCTCATTATGTTGGGGAAGGGGGTGGTGGAATTTGCAGTTGTTAATTCATTGTTTCAGTCCAGGGCCTTATTAGCTTTCTTCTGTAATCTTCCTGAAGGCATGGGTGGAGGGCCTGGGAAGAGCACAGATTAGAAGCTGTTGGTTTAAAAATTCATTTTGTGCTTTACAGGTTAGTTTAACATCTGGGAAAAACAAGTTTAATTACCTTATAGAATTGTTGCCAAATTGTTTATAATTACTTTTAAAATGCCTGTTACTTGCTTTACTAGCCTTAAGTAACCATCAGATAAAATCTTCTACATCAAAATAGGAAAACATTTTACAAGTACTCTATCTGCTTTGTGTAACCTTCGTATTCATTATAAAAGAACTAGTTTTCATTATATATTTAGAATACTTTGGAGGGACTTTTCTATAGTCTAAATAGAAATTACTAAAAGTCTTGAAGAGTAAAGCATGATCCTAAATAATTTATAGCTTCTGGAATCTCTACTTATTTTGGTTGCAAAATATTTTATAAACTCCTGGACTATCGGCATTTCAGTATAATGATAATATGCTGTAGTTTTGCATCATTATTCAACATCAAGATTTTTCTAGTTTAACTACTAGTAAAAAATTGTCAGCGTAAGTTGTTTGTCAGGAGTATGCAGGTAGTTAGTTTCCTTTAATCCTTATGAGTAACACTATAATTGTCATGTGCTTAAAAAAAACACAAATAAGAGTTTTTTAAAAAAAATGATGATCAATAACTCTGACAAGACAAAGATGCTCATTAGAATTAGGGGATGTTAGCGGTAATGCCGACCAAGCCATGCAGCTTAAGGAAAAAGACTTTTAAAAACAAATATTATAAAATCAAAATGGCGGTGCCTGCCTGTTACATCTAGCTGTTTTAAAAATGTGTAAGCAATCTTGTACTAACAAATGTGCCTCCAAACCTGCAATTTTATTTACATGTTGGGCAACAGACTCCAGCTCTGGTTAACTTGAGACCAAGAATGACAGCTGGGCAAACCCATGGCCCTGGAGCTCAGCAGAGGTTGGAGAACCTCTTTCCAGCAATATGGTCCTTTGCAGCATAGTTCATAGCTCTCGTGACCCAGTATATGCAGGTCCTGATAATTGCACATTCATTTCAGTGGGCATAGGATCTTCCTTTTCCTCGTTCTGAGTGATATTGGTATGGAGTCCAACTAAATGTCTTCTCAAGTTCTAAAATTATACCCCCAAATAGAATTATTTCTCATTTCTACTGACACTCAAAAATTTGTTTATTTCTGCAAAGAAAAAAAGTGTTAGTATTTTTTGCTCAGATATTTTTCCTCCTTCGACATCACCTCTACATTTCAGAAGAAAGATTGAATCCCTTTTATTTAGTATCCCTTTTATGAAGGCATCTCTCAACCTCTGCTAAAGCACTGTTCTCCCCATTTTTTCCTTCCTTTCAAACATCAGCTGTTGCTGCCTGCAGAGCCTTCTCAGTAGACTTTGGCCATAGCAGATGCACAAAAGTTTAAGTAACACAGGGCAGCAGGCAGGTGTTTGTCCCTATGTGGGTCAGAGGGAAAAACAAACCAGTGTTTATTCCGTTCAGATGCTGCTTACGCCCTCCCCATTTTCAGTGTTCCTTTCCCTGCTCGTACGCCCTCTAAGCCACGGTGCACTTCCAATTTTACACAAGCAAGGACCTAGAACCGCCTGGGCTGCCTTCACTTCTCGTTTTGTTTCTGTTCCAATTTAGTCGTAGGACTCTTGCTTTTTCATTATATGTTTCTTTACTTGGTCCTCAGTTCCTCGTCTTGCTAACTACCAAGCTTTGGGTCATCGAAGTTTTTGATCAATTTTTATTCTTAAGAGACCCTGGCCTTGCCCCTACTATGTCCTAAAAAGTATTTATAAACTAAGCATTTTAAAATTGTTTCTTCTCTGGGTCCTTCAGTTTTGCTGTACCCATTAACCCGCTGTTATTCAGCCATCAGAGGGAATGACGAAAAGCTAATACCGTGTTGGCACTTAACTTTTTCAAGGGCAAACCGTTCCTCCCCCGACCCCATCCCCCACCCCCAGCAGCAATACCATTTTTAAGGAGTTTTAGCTGATCCCAGAGATGTGCATATTATGGAGATTCTATGTGGATCAGGTATAAAAGG